GTAGTGTAGTATAATTGAGAATTAATCTGTTCAGTATGTATAGTTTCTGGTGTTTTGTTTTAAATGTAACTGTAACATCCTTCCCTAACTTCTAGGTACGTTATCATCTCCAGCATATTGAAATATATATATATTATGTGAGGGGAAAACTTCTACATTAGAATGGCTAAATTATGCTAGATGATGATGATTTACATTTCTTCCTGACTGTACTGGGACATGATATTAAGCTGTGTTTATACCTATGTGCAACTTAAGACCTTATAGTTGTAGTATTAACTGTATAATCTGTGAACTTATTGATGGTTCCTTCTTATACCTAATAATGATACATTAACTTGTGATTGGAACAAACTGTTTCAACTTTAGATCAAACCTAAATACCACTGTACAAGGTGAAATGATGTAGAGTGAAAAGTAGGAAACCAGTTCTGTAAAGAGCAAGTAATTTTAAGTAGTTGTAACAGTTGAAAGAAAGAACAAAATATATATATATGTATTATTTTGACATTCTTTAGTGACACATCCAATAATGTTCTTTATAAATGTCAACATTTCAAATACTCTATAGGTATTGATAAGGTAAATGATATATCTGGATATATGAATATTAATGCATAAGTATTGTGAGTATTGGTATTCCAAGGAATTTCCAAAGAATTTTACACATCAAGACATCTTTGATGCTCTTTGTAACTTGAGTACACAGGATAGGAAGTCATTACAGAATCTAAACATGGCATAATTTTCTCCAGTTTTTAATTGGCATGCATTTTTTTCTTAATTACATTCCTATTGTCACTGTGTTGTTTTTTGATGTCTAGCTCAATATCATAGTTGTAGTAAACAGAGATCATGAGGTCCATGGAGAATAACATAAGCTACTTATGGTTTATGCATTCTTTCTTTTTGTCAACCACAACATTAAGTGTTTTGCACACTTTATTTGTATGCATTCAATGTTCATAACTTATTTACAATGCTGTTGACAACTCATTAAATGTACAATTATTCATATAATAGGTTTTGTATTTTCTATAGCATATTTTCAGCTTCCATTTCCTTTTATATTTCTCTCTCAAACCTGACAGAAACATAGGTTTCAATATTGTTACACAACTTTGGTTTTTCCATATTATTTTGCTTCTCTCATGTATGGGTATTAGCAAATAGTCTCAAATAATGCACACAGGCAATTATAATAATACAGATGAATGTGTGGAAATGTCTGCAAAGTTGCTGCTCCAGTAGTCTGTATTTTCTGTTTTCACTCATTTTTTTCTTATCACAGAACAGTAATTGTAACATATATATATATATTTTCCTTAGACTACTTTATTTAACACATTTTATGGTGTCAAAACTTGCCCTAGCCCATCATGTAAATATAAAGAGTTAGAACAAATGTATTTTGTTGAAAATGTTTGGATATTCTTCTAATTATACACAAGACAAGGCAGTGCTATAGGGAATTGACAGAAAATAGCATGGTGAATGGTGGGACAGTGATGTAAGGTATCTGTACTAATTGTAGGGTTAAACCCAAAACTATATATATATATGTAAAAGGTGGCCATTATGCTTCTTCCTGTTTTCTATATACATGAAAGCAGTGTATTCATTTTCACATTTGTAATGTACCTGGTGGCTGTATATGCTTTCTCACATTGTAGAATGAGAGGATCTCTATGAAGAAAATTCCATAATTATTAATGAAAAAAATGTTGGAAAAAGCAGTGCTGTGAAAAAGAATGAGCCTTTGTTAAAACACAAGTGCTCATATGGGTTACTGCAGATGCTTTTCAGTTGATAGAAAGTCATGGTATAATGATGAATATGTGTAGAGATGGAAGTTTTGATCAAGGCTTGATGCATGCTTAAAAAGTTTTTGCAGTAGCGCAAGTTAATAGTTATCAGTTCTGTCAAGAGGTGATATCTATCTGAAATACAATTTTAAGTAAGTAAAATGTTAACATTCTGACTATGTTTCAACAATTTTTAACCAAAAAAAGTATTTTAGAATATATATATTTTGTTATTTTATAACATTTACTTAGTGTAATTTCCAATGAAAAGGAAACAAAATATGTTCTGAGATTCATTTCTAAGCAGCTCTGAGGATTCTGCCCTGTAAACTACACACTTATAAAATTTTCTTAGTACCCTCAAAGCATAATTTTATATTTGCTATGAAAGTAAAATTCTTCAAGAAAGTAATTAACCATGTCTTGTTTTTTATGTAGTATCCTTTCTCTGTTAGCACTTTTATTACTACAAGTCTTCATTCCCATCTTTTATATGATGTTACAGCATGTGGTCCAGGGGCAAGTTGGCCCATTGGACAATTGCTTGGTGGGCTGGTGCAATTGACACATTCTTGTTTAGCCAGTATGCAGCATTTGAAAAAATATTGGGCCACTGTTAGTGATATTGCCCAGACTGGTACTTTAATACATGCTGCCTCTGATGTGGTCTGAACAATTACTAGTGAAAGAGCTTTAAAAATAGCTACAAGCAATGTTCAAATATGTACAGTTGGATAGAGCAAGATTATGAAATATTTATGTAGAGTAAATAATGTGGTTTGAGCTGTAATTTTTGGTTTTGTGGGAAAATGACTACCAATAGCTCTTCTAGGGATGAACAAAGAAATCTGATGAGAAGCTTTGAAGGTATTTTTTAATATTTTCTTAAAATGTTTTAGTGTGAAATTATGTGTGTTTGAAAGCTAAAGAAATATTCTTGGTCATCAGTTAAACTTAGTGATTTAGGCAACAGCAAAATAGTCTGATGAATCAAATTTTTATTTACTGAATATTATTGTTAATTTATTGTATTTAAACAGGTGACATTAATGAAATATCTTATTTATTGAAAAGAAACTGTACTTAATAGATATAAATTGATCTTGATCAAAAATATTCTTAAAAAAATTGATGTTACTCAGCCTGTCACCTATAAACCTCTGTCAGTTTTTGCTTTGTTTTAACAATTTGTAGCAGGGAGTGGGAAATATGTTAATGAACATCAATCTGACTAGCTACATAATATGCAATGCTTTGATTAAAAATAAAATAATTGAAATTCCCGAGATTAAAATGAAGTTTTTTAAAACAGTGTTTCACAAACATTTTGAATTATAAAACACATAGAAAACTAAATCAAATTATGAATTTTTTAAGCTGGACTAGATACCATGTAGTAATTTTTACTAAGTTAAATGCAATTTTGTTAATTGTTTCCATTGTGAGAAGAAAGAAATTAGCAAGTGTTTGTGACATCCTCTCAGTCTAGAAAGAGTTAAGTAATGTCTTAAAAATCTAAATTATTTTGCTAAGCTACACACATATTTTTAAGAATTGATGCATTTGAAAATCATGCATTGCTTATTGTATTCAAAGATCATGTGTTAATTTTTTTATGTTTGTTATAATAGTTACAGATAAGCAGCTACTGAAGGTTTAAGGAATGGATTATGGGTGCATGCTTAAGTTTAGATGAAGAGGAACGTCGAGCTCGTTTGAGGAGTGAGGAGATTGATCGTCAGCTTGCTGAATTAGCAAAACAAGAGCGGAATGTGGTAAAAATATTGTTGCTAGGTAGGTAAAATGTTTGTTTAGTTATGCTTGTTTTCTGTAAGGTAAGATGTGTAGAGTGGAAGTATTTTTTAAACTCCAGAATCTAATTTTGTTATCAAAGTTTTTGTTAGATACATAATAAGTATATGAAAGGTTAAAATTTTGAAATTATTAGTGAAAAGAGAATAATTTTTTTCTCTGTGTATATGGATTTAAAATGTTTGACCAGTTCTGATTTAGGCTTCCATTTGTTCTTAGATACATATTTTTAAAGTCCTCAAGTGGCACAGTGGTAAGTCTGTGGACTTGTAATGCTAGAAACTGGGTTTTGAGACCCAGCACAGATAGCCTATTGTGAAGCTTTTTAGCTATAAAACTGACTTAATGTTAGGTTTAAATGTATACTTACTTTTTCTTGAACAGAAATTTTTGAACTGCATTTCAAGTGAAAAAATACTTTAAACAATGAAAATGTGAACAACTAAATAAAAATAAGAATTGGTTTGTCCTCTATCATTTACCATAAAACATCTGCCAAGATCCCCAATATTCAAGAAGAATTATCTGTTTTAAAGGACATTTAAAACAATAACACCACTATATAGGATTCAACCAAAGCACAACTGTTTTATTAAATAAAATGTGATTGTATTTTAAAAATAGAGTGCCATGATGACACTATCAAGTTTAAGTGTGTGAATACTGAATGGTTAAACCTTACTCCGTAATCTATAGGAAAATTCTAATTTAGATTAATACATTTGAAGAACTTTATCTTTCTGGATCCTGTCCTGACATAATTTAAGGTTTACTAAAATTCATAAAAACAACTTATCCCATCAAACCCATCTCATCTAATAATTGCTACTGTGTTTACAAGCTTCCTAAGGTTTTTGTCATTGTTTTAAACTTTTTAACTGTTAATAAGTTTGTAGTTGAAGATGTTCTTTTGTTCTTGAACTCTCATAGTTTCCTAATGCTGACCATTACCTCATGGCTAGTTTAGACATTGAATCACTTTTCATAAATGTCCCAGTTGCAGAAACTATTTAGATCTGCCTAAACCACTTGTTTCTTAAGGGCATTAACTTACCGTGATTTCAACCAACAACAGCTTTAACAGTCTCTTAGGAACAGTAGTCTTCTGCAGTGAACTGTATGACCAGATAGGTGTTGTAGCAGTGGTATCACTTTTTTGGCTGTCCCTGCATATATCTTTTTTTTTTTCATCACTAACAACACGTGTCATTAGACAGGTGTCCCACAAAATTTACCCCTACTCTCTGTAAAAGGTACATCAGTGATACTTTCTTGTTGTTATGAAGATGTAACTAATTTTTTGGAATGCTTAGATTCTCAAGGCCTATACATGAAATTTTCCTGTGTTATTGAAAACAAAGATGATTTATTTAAATGTCTTTGTTACTTCTCTGACTAACCAGTTTGGTAAATATGCTATCAAAAGAAGATACTTGCTAGCCTATGCTCTTGCTTTGGTAGCCTTATACCATATTTTCTGAAATATAATTTTGTAAAAAAAAACATTATAAACAAAGCATCAAATATTTATTCTTGCTATTTTTTTTCATCTATTCAAAACAATTTTTTTTATTATAACACTGCTTGTGTTTTTACTATGTATTATCTTTGATGTATATTGTTGAAAATTACTGATGATGTTTACTACTGTTTTTGTGGTTCATCTGTTTCATGTGGTCATGTATTGTAATATTTCAAATAACTGCAGATATCACAGATATAAGACAAAATTAAGAAGTTACTGTAAAATACCTGACAATATTTACCTTTATCAAATATTTGTTTATAATTCAGAAAATGTACAGTAAGATAGAAGTTTCCATGTTAATTGATCAATCTTTATTGTAAAAATAACATAAATACGTTTCAGTTGTGAAGGCTTGTGTTTTTAAATAGAAAATTGAATTAATAAATGATTATATTAGTCATAATGTTTGGATTGGTCTGCTTTTACTTACAAGTTGAACAGAGCATTCATGTGAGAAATGGAATGAACTGCTATTGCACAGTTATACATTTACTGTGGTCAATTCTAGTACTTGTTATTGTTTAATGAAGTCACTGAAATAGTGATTAAAATATTTATAAAAGTACACAAAAATCTCATTCACAGGGTGTAATTTCTCAGCATATGTAAAGTTGAATGTGAAAATTATTTAGTGAAAATTAACTCTGCTGTACTGAAACATGGTGAGTACTTTCACTTAATAATGGACTGATACTGATTTTTTTGCAAAATTTAATTTTCCCTGAATATTCTACAACTTGCTAGTGGTATTTTGGTCAAAAGTAGGTTACACATTATATATTAATGTGCCTTTCATCAATTAGTGGACGAATTGTGTTCAGATTGTTACTACCTTAATACTCAGTCCTTGAAATTAGGACATCAAGTATATAGCAAAAAATGTGACAGTAAATGCATTAGTCAAGACAATATCAAGGGAACTAACTTGTCTATTCTGAAAAGATTCTTCTCCTTAAAGACGCACTTAATACACAAGCAGAGTACAAAACAGGCATCCTCACTTCGGTAAAAATGAAAAACTTCATTAGGATTTTATGTTGATCAAATATTTTTGTTGAAATCATAAAATTATTGGCAGCTTTCCAAGTTAAAACTGAGGCATAAACTTTGTCCCATTCTGCCCATACAATATTAAACTTTAACAGAAATTCAGAATCAAATGATACTTATAATAACAAAAAGTCATTGCTCAGTGTTAGCAAAATACAGTAAAAGACACGTAACAACTTTGTCTTCAAATATTGGTATTCTTTATTCTTCAGATAACAAAACTGAACTTTTCTGTTTGCACTGTGTGAATGATATATCTAAAATATGTAAAAGTATTGTAAAAATAAAGTAATAAACTTAACTGTCTCCTCTAATACTAAATTACTCAATAATCCAAAATGAAACTACATCTGGTTTAACAGTGTGTGTTAGTTGTGGTTTTGAATCACATTTTGATTAAAACAAATGTTTCATATATTAAACCTGTATAGTGTAAAAGCTACTGAACATGAAATTATCAATATTTTTAGAAGTGCTTGCAAAATATTAGAATACATATTAGAATTTAAAAGCTATAATGTTACTTAGCTACCTAATTTTGGCCTTTCCTCATGCAATTTACATATAAATAGCAAAACCATGCAAACAGACTGACATGAGTTTTTGAAAGAAATGGGAAGAGAGTTTATATGTTATATTTTAAATTAAAGGGAAAAATTTTAATATATATTTTTTTCTTAATATGTTTACAACATCGTGTGCCACTGGTGGTACATTTACATGTTTTCTGTTGGATGTAGTGAGCCACCCGTGATATACAGCACTCATAAGATATAACTGCACCTCATATCATCGTGTAGCACTGGTGGAGCATGGATGACATGTTGAAAGGACAATTGAAATGAAATAAATTTACATGATTAAATTGCTCTTTATTTTAAAATTATATATAGAGACTGGCATTACATTTTTCAGAGAAAGCTGTTAATGCAGTCATTCTGTCATAAAATATAACATAAAGCCATAAAATTAGCAATATCTATAACAAAGTTTACAATCAGGCTTTACGTTCCAATTGCATAATTAGAGAAATGACTTTTGCCATGAACATGTTAAGAAACCTTTTTTTTTCTTTTGCTATCATATTTGACATCAAACTTTATGTTTTTCATAAAATACTACAGGTTTGCTGCATGCCATTGTTTATTTTAAGGGCTAATACTATACTGTAATAGCTGCATCCATGCATACAAAGTGAAGAATTTATTGATAGTTAATTAAAGTTTTGTTTATTTTCATTAAGTGACAGAACAAACTTATAATGTAGAAAATAAAAATTAAAGTCATAGACTGTTCTAAAATTGAAATTGTGTGTTATAAATGAAACACTGATTGACTTGTAGGTTATTCAATTCCCAGTTTGTCACACATGTGCATATAGTCTACTACATGTAATATCCCATTATCTAGACTCCTGAAAAGTACTTGAAGTTACCTAATTCGAGAGCTTCATAGCTCATTTAACCATCACACTGTTGTTTTAATTTCAGCTCCTGTATGTTTTTCAATCGTGTATTTGATACATTGAATATTTTTCTGCTATACATTTTCAACCACCACACACACATATTGATGTATGTGTACTCAAAGTCAGTCTTAATAAAAAGCCAAAATAGTGCTTACCATATACATTCTTTGTAATTCCTTCCATAAAGTCTGAACTCCTCTTTTAAGAAACTTCATGCTGAGCTATTCCTGTATTAGATCACTGTTTTTTAATTATGTATGTTTCTTACCTTAGGAGCAGGTGAAAGTGGAAAGAGTACATTGGTAAAGCAGATGAAGATTATTCACAATGATGGTTTCACTGAGGAAGAACTTCGAAGTTTTAGGGTATGTTTGGAAATTATGTTGGAAGTTGATACAGTATGTACATAATATGAGCTAGTACTTTTGTCTAGTGACAGTTTGTTTTAATTGGTATTTAAGTTTAGTTTTTAAAATTTACTTTAAATTGAATCTTTTGACTAGTAGTGGGAATTTCAACTAGTTTGCTACTCAAATACACAGGGACCAACATTTTTGTGTATTCAGTTATTTAAATGCTAGTCCCTGCTTGTACACTCACAAGAATAAAAGGCATATGCATATGGGTCTACTATAAAATGATGGCATAATAGTTTAACATTACTACTAGCCATTAACCCTTTCCATGTCATCTCGTTTGTTGACTCACATTCAAAATTTTATTGAATTACTATTTCATGAATTTATGTCAATAAGTTTGGTATCAAACTGTAGATTATAATTCAAATTTTAGAACTATACATTACTCAATTTGTTAATTTAAAAGTAAATATTAAAAAAACACAGCACTGGTTCAGATTAGATGTTTGTGAAGTCAAAATATTAAGTCTGTAGTTTCATATGAATTAGAAACTTAAATTACAGATATTGACAAGCTAGAATATAAAATAAGGTTTTATCTTTTCTATTTGCTAAGATATTGCTCATGTAATAAATCAAACATAATGGCACCCTGCTCACCTCCTTTCATTTTTGGAAATGCTCCCTTATAAACACTTACTTCTATATATATGACATGAATAACCAATCAGATACTCAGAATATCCCCCTAGTACAGTGGTGGGATTCAAATATTTTAACAACAGGTTCTCTCACTAGCAGCATGTAAAAATATTAGATATTAAAAAAAAGGAGGGGCCAGAGCCCCCCCCCCCCATCACTGAGAAAGTGAAAATATGCCGTCACGGATAGTGTTAAAGATTATTTAGAAACTT